ATGCATACGGACATAACACGATACCGGGAAGATTGTATTGCATTACGGAAGCACGCAGCGTGCCTGGAAATTGCAAAACTTTTAAACGGCCCAAAATTAATGCATCACTTCAATAACCTAATACAGTATGCATTAATGTTGCTGCGTTAAATGGGACTTGCAACCGTATTTCAATGAATTCCTAGAAATACCGGTCGCCTCGAATTTTCTAGAAGTTCACCGAACAAAAGCTACCGATATACACACGTGTTAGCGAAAATGCAGTCATTGCATATTTTAGTCCGCGAACAAACATAGACATTACTATTCCGTATATACTTTAGAAAAATATTTCCATTTTATGGAGATATACATCAAATATATGTTTTCCTTCGTATCCAAGTAGATAGTCGAAACGTTTATAAAATTTGTGAGAAAATCTACTTAAAGTCCATAAATATATAGATACATTTAGTTTATAATATACAAACAACAGTTAGTTTGGATTAATATTCTTGAAAATAGTGTTCAGATGTGGTGGACTCGTACATTTATTTACATTACCGACAAGAACACACAAATAAATTAATAAGAAAAATGAAACTCTCATACCTTAAAATCAGCCTACAACATTATTTACACAAATATTAATTTAAACAGTCCGAATATTAAAGTTTGAAATCAAAGGTTGTGACGTGCAAACTGTTGCGATAGATAGATATAAGTATAGACAATATGAACAATTGTAACGTGTACATATTAGAAACGCGGACCCTGTTCAGGACCTGCAACAGCGAGGCTTCTGCGGGGAAAAACCCCCGTACGCGACACAGTACCGAGCGTCCTGCTAGGTATCACCCCGGAAAAAACCCATAACAATCGGAACTTCTCCATGATCCGCGCTCGGCTATGAAATAGCCGAGAGAGAGACAGACTTTGAAAGCAAGTACGCCTTCACTTGGAGAGCAGACGACACCACGCGCTGTTCGGCACTCTTCAAATACCGGCATTTTTTCCAAACCCTGTCTAGAGGAAGACGTATACACGGCACCTCCACCCTCCTTACATTTTGAGCCAAGAAAGAAGACGTGTTCCACGGCACTCTCGAAGCTTCCTCCGAGCATCTTTCATTCCTCCGACTGGATTTTTAATCGCGCCGTGTAAAAGTTCGAGCGTGTGCGTGAACCTCGCCCGTATCGCGAGAAAACCGTGACATCTTTCTTAACTTTAAAACAAATGTAAAAATATTAATTTTACTTAATAAATAACCAAAGTTTTTTCAAACAAGATTTCAAATTATTTCATTTCACATTTGCGTACATGCATTCAAAGAATATTCATGAATAATTTCAGAAATATTCGAAACGAGAACAATTCTAAAAATTGTGCTGTTATATCGTAACGCATTAAACTAGATTGGCCAAATATTGAATATTACTGTCCTTTATATTTAAAATCACAGAGACAAGAGATACCGTTAGACAAAAGCTGCGTTAAAACCAGAGGTGGATAAATTTTATACGAATCATACGTACCGAATAAAACCAACGTATACCGATTTATTATTAAGAATTGTACGATTGAACGGTTAAATTTTTATTTGTTCGTTATAAGTGTTCTATCGTTCAAATTCTGAAATTCAGAGATTTTTTCTTCAAATTGAACCTAATATTCTCGAAATCAGTTTTCAAGAAACCTTTCAAAAGAGCTAACAAAAAAAATCAACTTGTAAACAAATTTAACAGTGTTGTGACCCCTTAATCCCACTATAATTTTACGCGGAGTAGGTCGCATTCGAATTGCAATAAAATCACTGACATAGACCGCGAAAGGTGATCGATCTAGCGTGGAATGACCCTTCCGGTTTTCCTGTTTGCGCGTGATTTCCCCTCGCCGTTTTCGACGAGCCTCTCCAAACGTTAACGCGCACGGAATCAGCCGCGATCGCGGTGAATTGAACCCGATAAAAAGCGAAATCGCAACAAATTGCGGCGAACCCAAACGCAGCGTTCGCCTGGCCAAAAAACGAACGAGTCTATCGTAAGCCCCCAATGTGTCATGATTTCCGGAATTATACGGCCCCTGATTTAAAATCGGCCGCGATTAACGCGAATCAACTTATTAGCACTCGATATTCGCAAATCAGAATTACAATTCGCCGCCCCCCTTTTTTCCTGGCGAATATCGTTGCTCGGCTGGACCACAAATTGCGCGCGAAAATCCGATGCGTTTTTCGCGTCAAGCACGTTTAACCCCTTGCCTCGCCATTAACTTTGTGTCCACGCGTGCCACAGTCAGCAATAAAGTCACTTGCCTATCATTGCCAAGCATCGGTCGGTGGTTTTTCGTTAATAATTCAGAAACGAAGCATCATCAGACACTTTTCTAAAAGCAAATTGTGATTCAGTATCGTCCCAGCTACCCCCCATTTCCGGTTCTTACACTAATTCTGAGACACTCCGTATAAATAAACAATGTTGCTTCACTCGTGCGTCGATTCTTGTTTGTTTATACAGTTTGAGATACCCTACCCTCCCATCTTCCCAACAATTCCAATAACAAAAAAGCGTCGACATATCAGAAGAAGCACATTGAAAGTACATTTAGTATAGTAGGAGTCTCGCATGGTGAATGCTATACTAGACAATATTTGACCTTAGTAAAGATTATAAATAATCCCTGTATCATGCAAAAGTCGGATGTATTATATGAAGGTGACGATGGTGGTACAGTAGGCTGTTCTAATGATGATAATGGGATTGACACCGGTCATCAAAGTGACAAAAATAGAAATAATACAAAAAATTCAAATTTCAAAATGTACTCTTTCTAAGCTTCCACATTATTATTCAGTTGAGTGAAATTAAATAGTATGTTTTGGACGCATCAAGTTGTGTTTTATTTGTATGTCAAGGGGTTAATTGGCGTTCCTTGATAGCGAAACCACGTTTGCTGTGCCTCCCCTAGAACACGTTAGATCATAATCCGCGGATTGGATTACATATATTATTCGATCTCTATTCTTTATTCAGCATTTTGCAGAAACGCGAGAAAAACATCAACGGCGTTATAAATTTCCACGTTAACGTATTTTTCGACACCGTAAACGTTGGCCGAGGAAAGCGTCTGTTTTCACGTTTTTCCACGAACAGCAGACAAATGTTTTCGACATAATTCGACACAGCCAGGGAAATGTAACTGTTATCGTGCCAAGTCAATACCGATTTCGGACAAAACACAGATGGATGCGTGGTGTATAAATGTGGCGGCACGTACGAGATGGTATACAAAGCGGTGGGTAGAACGTCCATGCGATTTATTAAATACTGTACCAGTGAGCATTGTTATGACGCGAGTGTGCAAATATTATTTTGCATGTACACCAATCGATGTTATTCGGTTCTGCCCGTGTGTACAATTCTGTCCTCGGTACCACTAGCGAAATTTTAGTGGACCGACTTCCATGAGCCGTAAGAAGGCTGCCACGAAGAAACGAAATCTGTACAGGGATATCGAGTACATTCAAGTAAACAGATTTAGAGTTTCAACAATATTAACTCAATATGCTTTACACTGTTTGCTGGTCGTTACGTACTCTTCATGTTTGTCAATATTACGCTTGGCACTTCGTGTGTCAAAAGTCGACTTAATAACGCAAGCCACATTGGGACACTGGGATTTATATATAAAAAGTTACCAAGGGTTTATACATATGTCGAGAGTTGGTAACTTTAATTATTTACATGAAAAACCATGAGAAAAGGTGGAGGTCAAAGTTGATTGATCTACAAACTTACATAAAATAGAGATGATCAAATTGCGCATGAAAAAGAAGTTATTCATGAATAATAAAATAAAATTGAATATTCTTTCTTCAAAAGTAAATCAAATATTTATAATGAAATCGAATTAAAATCTCATTAAAAATGAACAACCTCGATGGAAAAACATTCAGAAACATATTTTCTCTCGTAGTTTTTCCATTTTTTAAATAAATATTGCAAGCAGCTAGTTCTTCAAACATATTAAAATTGTCATCAATATGAGGGAGCAATGATTCGAAATAAATGAAATTCTTTGATGTTTGAAACTTTTATTTAAAATAATTATATTCGATCTGTGTAGAGTATAATAAAATTTAGTATTCCTTTTTTCAATTTGTGAGCAGAAAAGTAAGTCAACAAAGTCAATGAACGTACACGAGATTTGATTATTTATCCTTGTTTATTTCTTTCACCGTTTTGCTTACATATTAGACGAATCGTACAGCTAACACATTTAATGCTGATACGAGAATTATTTTACATGCGGATAAATAATATTCACTCACGAGCGAACGCTAAAGATCTCTGTTTCTCATGTCTATCATTCGCATACATGGATGTACGTACACATTAAAACATATCCGAATAATTAATCATGCAATCCTTGATACCAGGGCACCTGTATCCATTCGAAAACATTTATCAGAGTATATGCGCGCGGACCTTGCATTATAAATAACATTTAAGTTTTCTTCAAGAGCACGATTTGATTATACAGGTCGCGGTCAAATAACATGTACTATCGGGCACGAGGTGGTTCTTTATGAAAAGTAAGAACAAAATAAACTTTGTACATTTAAAGCTTAGTTTTTGAGAAAATCGAGTTTGAAAATCCTATTCGTACGTAAGCTGTTACGGCTAAGTTACGTAACTGATAAAACAAGTACAATACATAAGTATTGTGTGTATTTTTTCTTGAACTCGGTAACTTTTAAACGCTGGATAGACGTTGTTTAGAAACACGATACGCGTTATACGATGCTCGACGAACCGTAACTCAGCCGTAACAGCATACATACGAATAAGATATTCAAACTCAATTTTCTCAAAAACTAAACTTTAAATGAAAAAATATTATTACATAGTTTGTTCTTATTTTTTCATAAGGAACCACTTCATGTCCTCTAGTGCATGTTATTCGGCCCCATCTTCCATTTAAATAGTAAAATTTCTACTACTTGTCCACTTAACTCCAACTGTAATTGACAAAATCCTCGAAAGGCCGCAGGTTCCCTATGTTTCTCTGACCTATTACATTGATCATCATAGTTTAACAACTGCAGAAATGTATATTCTATCAAATTAAACCTATCGCTTATTTTGGGCGCATAAATTGTCTCTGAAAAGTCTTTGCAACTTTCTCTATTAAAGGGTCAGCTCGCCAACGAAAGTACGTGGAACGTGACACTCGCGTCCTAGCTAAGCGTCAGTCTGATCTCTTTCGTCAGCTTCAAGGATTCGATTCTTTCAGCGCACTGCGTTGTCTAACATGAAAATTCACCAGGACCAGATTCATCGTCGAACAGAATTCCCACCATGAATTCGATAAAATCCCCATCGATCTAAAATTTTTCTTCGACATTTGGTAGAAAAGGTACAATGAATATAAAAACAAGGGGCTCCGATTTATTTCGCGAATCAATCCTTTCACTTCTTCGATTTCTATACATAAATTACAGAAAGAAAGAAAGATACCGACTCAAGTCCTTTCTACCAAGCATCAAAGTGCACGCTGGTGTTCATCGACGAGGATGAAATATCTTCTAACAAAATTGAGCCTCCCAGAAGAGTTGTTCAACTTCTTCAAACGAAAAATAGAGGATACCGTTTCGAGATTTTTTCTCGACAATTGACTAAAACCGCGAGATTTCGAGAAAGGAAGTTGATCGGTACGACTCCTAAGAGGTTCATCGATAATGCTTGACTCACCGATGAGCTGTCCCTCGGACGATCCGTGAAAATGATCCTGTCCGTCTAGTAAGGCGATGACAAGTACGATGGAGGTGTCGAGGGCAGTGGGGTCCACTGCTAGTGAACCCACGAGGGAGGTGCAGCAGGAGTCGCCGCATTAGTGCTCACGTAAACTCCTGCGGGTGCGTTTCCAGCCGTCGTGCCGACGACGTTGTTCTGAGACACGGCACCGTTCTGACCGATGTTTCTATCGCTCACTTGAATCGCAGCCGTGCCCATCACGCTCTGCTGGAAGTTGAAGTCCAACGTTCCGTCCATCGACAGCTCGTGTTTGATCACCTGAGATACAGGTTTTACTGTTTGGTGCATTGGTAGACTACTTATTGGATTACAAGTGAGGCGAATAGGCTTACACAAACGTACTCTATAAAAAGAAAGGCTGTATCCAAATAAGATTATTAGGGATATGAGTTATCCATGCAAATAAGGATTTCTTGATAATACAGGGTGTCCCGTAACTGGTGGTACGAGCGAGTAGGGTGTGATCCTACGTGAAAAATTGAATCGAAAATGTAGAATGAACATTTTTCGTATGACGCTTTATTCTCGAAAATAATAAGTTTGAAAATTTGTCGAATGTTAAAATTTAGCTACGATCTCCGGACTTATCACCTTTAGATTTTTATTTGTGGGGTCATGTTAGGTCGATTGTGTACAGTGATGACCTGACGTAGCGCTTGAATAATTAAAATTGCACAACGACACGTTAAAAAACATTCAATCCAATTTAATAAGGAGAGCACAGTTATGTTTGCGACAACGTGAACATCACTTCCAACAGTTCATAAATTACATGAATTCTGGAAATCTATTCATCGATCCATTGATTACGTTTACAGACAAGAATGGAGGTGATCTATAATGAAATCCGTCGAGCTAAAGCTGATCAAGTGCACGTGTACTCGACGAATTTTCAAACTTATTTTTTTCGAAAATAAAGCGTCATATAGACAAATTTTATTTTATATTTCAGATTCAATTTTTCACGTAGAATCACCCCCCCCCCTCCACTCACTTGAACTACCAATTACAGGACACCCTGTATATTTAAATAGGAATTGACCGGGGGAATGACTACTAGCCAGAGGAGAAAAGTTCAATGGTGTATTAGTAGGCTACTAGAAGGCTGTGTTTAAATAAGATTATTAGAGATAAAAAGGATCTATAAAAAAGCCAATTTTCTAAACTATCTATACTAATAATATTAAAATGAGGTAAAGGTTGTTTATTTGTTTGTTTGTATCTAGGGTATAATCTCTGGAACTACTGAAACGACTTTTTAAATTGTTTTCAGTAATAAAAAACTACACTATCCCTGAGTAACAGAGGATATGCTTTATTTAAACAAAAATAAGTGTTCAATTTGAAATCTCAAAATTTGTAAATCGAGTCGGAAGAAAAGCGTTGCTCGAGTACTTTATCGGCGTACGCAGACCAAATGGTTCAATATACTTGAAAATAATGTAATATAAAAATATTGGTTATCAATAGATCTAAAAAAGAAGTCAGCGACACGATATACCGATCTTTTATATTTAAAGCACATAAACATTTTATAAATGTATTTATGAACGTTAAAAATGAATTGAAAATTATAAGGTGAACTTTAAGGGTGCTCATTAAGTATAATACATTAATCTTTATAAAAAAAGAATCATTTTATCATCTGGGAAATTTCATGAAGATAAAATTTGCCCTTTACAGCATGTTATTTGGTCGTATAGTTTAGGAGATAATAAAAAATGAATATAATTTACAGAAAAATGAATTGATAAGTGAAATGATAATATATTTAAAAAAGGCCTGGCAAGGAAGACTGATAGGGAAAAGAGAAAAGTTTAATGTCGTATTGGTAGGCTTGTTACAGAATTGTAGTTTGAATTATGGTTGATAATTCAAATTGCTGTGTCCTTTTGATCAAATACTCCAACGTTTCGCCAACATTGCAGCTGGTTTCTTCAGAAATCAAATGACATATCGCTGATCCATGAAGAAGCTGTAATGCTTGTGAATCTAAGGAGTATCTTCTCCAAAGAACACGACTTACATCTGGAAGCCTTAATTAATATCCGTGGGAGCCTCAAATATCGTGGTTTGTATTGTTTTAAACAAATGCACAATTTTTAGAAGAAAGGATCTGAATAATATATTTAAATAAGATTGGGAAAACGACTGTTGACTAAACGAGAAACATTCAGTAGTGTATCGATAGGGTACTTTCTAGATTACAATCGAGACGTACAGTTTCAGATAAATGTACAATCTATAAACGAAAGGATTTCTCGATGATGTATTCAAATAAAGCCAGCCAAGGAAGAGAATGCCAGAGAAAGGAGAAAGGTCCTCTATCAAAGTTCCGCAGAACCATAGATTTAAATTTGAATTTGTTTACTGTAAAAGGATACTTTGGATTTAAGTGTCCATACTGTTCATCATCAATATATTGATGTACGACGAGTTTACGTGTATTTGTGTTTCTGTTCATACTGTTGCTCCTTCTCATTCCTTCGTTTTGGTGCTGTCTGTTTAGTGTAGTTATAATGCTTTTCAAGAATTTTGGCCAGTGAAGATACTACTCCGTAAAAAAAAAAATAATTTGTTGTCATTATAAATGTCGACCATGGGAAGTAACTAGTATTATTTTATCAGGGCAGAAGTAAAAGGTTAATCTAAAGATAGAAAGATATATTGACAGCAAAACAAAAGATATATCGATGTTTAAAAATATTGCAAGACGCACTTTTTATGAAAAAGATGTTTGACTTAAAAAAAAAAAAAAAGATAAGACGTCTCAACTTGCATGTATGTTCGGTCATATAATTATGTTTACTTTTAAGAAAACATTGTTCAATTAATTGTGTAGACGAATGCAACGTCTGAAATTAAAAAATCTATGTTTTGCATACAATTTATTTAATTTGTTAAATTTTAAGTGCTTGAAATACAAGTGTCTAAAACATAACTGTACGTATAGGTACTACATAAATATATTTTACAATTTAAAATAGAATTATTGTGTACAAATGTTTGATGACGAAAGTCTAATTGAAATATGCATATAGGGTGCCACAAAAATGCCTTCACTTTGATAAACAAAGATGGATATACTTATGAATTTGTCTAAAAAGTAGTTAAATAGTTAATGAAAGTCGATCCACTTAAAATAAATGGATTTTGTATTAACTCGAACACTTGTTTTAAGCATGTATTATTACACATAATTTTCATGATATGAAATGTACAGTGTAGTCTGAAAAGTGCAGTGATCGTTTCTCCGTCAAGTTTCTAGAAGTTTATTATTAAAATTAAAAACACAATTTCCATTTAAAAATATATTAAAATTTATTAAAATGAAAATTTACTTAACACAGTTCTTTAAACATTCAGGGTCAAAATGGTATTTGATCACAATACTTGAATCAGAATTAGCATTTATTATTTAAGTATAAAGTATATTACAAATATAATATATTCACATAAAACTTAACAATCTAAAGTAAGTAAAGTGTATATTTGCGACCGTACACGAATAAATACTTTGGTTGCGAGGGCTGTTCTCAAAAAAGAAGACGCAAACGTCTGTATGAGCAACGAACAAGTAGAAATATACGACGCAATACACCCTTAATAACCACTTTCAAACTACGACAATTTTTAACGACAAATATTTTATTCGTATAAATTATCTTATAAATATTAAAATTCTATCGAAAAAAAATTACTACAATATTACTATTCACAGCTTTAATCAATCCAACAGGATTTCAGTTTTCTTTACATTGACAATTGTAATATTTGCTTCGATACATTGCTAACATAGTTTATTTAAACATTAAATTCAGACAGTAACGAGTATACGTAATCGTACAAATCGGAAACGAGACTCACCTCTTCAACGGTACAAGCGAATCCACCGTGGTCTTCAATGTTAATGTTCAAATCGTCAAGAATCGTGGAATTGTTGAGCGCTCCCATCAACTGTCCCATCATCGTGCTTGGCGCGGGGCCACAAGGTGTTGGTGTTTGCGTTTGACTGGTTCCGGTTGCTCCTGTTTGTGGCTGTTGGTGCTGCTGCAATTGCTGTTGCTGCTGTTGGCACTGCTGCGTTTGTATCATGTACTGAAGAGTTTGCTGTTGGCTGTTCCCTAGCGCCGTGGGACTCGGTTCGCTTTGTTGATAGGACGGTGACATTCCAGCCACTGGACTCAAATTCTAACATATGGCAAGACAAAAGGAAACGATGAGACAGGATACTTTTCTCGCGTAACATCAAATTTGCTATAATACGCGCCGAGGTATACGATTTAACACGTTGATTGCCTGACTTATACCTGTAAAACATATGAGCCTATCACTTCGTTTCTATACAATTGAAATTATTTGTATTGAATTTAAACTTGTATTTATTTTTGTAACTTCGCAAAATTCACAAATACTATGCACATTTATTTTCTTTAATTTCTCATCTTCAGAATTAATTTATTCAGTTGTTTAGAGGAAAATTCTGTCACCTATATATGGGTGATGTGGCGTCCAACGTGTTAAAGGGATAGAACACTGTAAACTGCACTTTTAAGAAAGATACATATATATAGAAAATGTTTATAAAGATACTATGCGGAGCATGGTTTTTAAACTTTTAGTATGTGACTATTGTGACATTCAAGTCCACATCTATCAAGTTCGTTTTTTAATTGTTGGATGTCAGTACGAGCTTTTTTTGACGCTTGTTAGAGACAACTCTACAAAATGATATAAGACCAAGATGGAACTCTAGATTTTGAAAACTCTTAGGAAACTCAGTAAATAAAGGATTTAAAAAAAAAACGACTACGTCAGATCATAGCGACTAGTTTTCTGAAGAGAAAATGAGTTAGATCATATCGACTGGACTCAGAGTTTTCTCAAAAAGCTGTCATCCAGATGAAAAGTGTCGTTTAGAGATAAACAGAGTTAAAGTTTCAGTAGCCTTCAGTCAAACGCTCAACACTGCTCCACATTGAAAGTTGTAATTCTAGCAATTGTAAAGATTTCTTTCTTAAAATGTTGACACTACATTGTTGAAATATATATTTTTCGATAAGTGTAACAATAACAAAAAACCGACTTTTTTTAAAAAATGGTATAGTGTTCCCTGTTAGGAATTAAGTTATTTTCTCTTCGAAATAAATAAAGTTTGACGACGAAAAAGATGATAGAAATTCAGTTTACCAGCTAATACTAACTTTGACGTATAACGAACAATTAACCGATTCACTTGGGTAATAGCAATCAATTTGAACTACGGGACATCGTAGTTGGCAGTGAATGGGTTAATCAAAATTATATACAAGGTCTACGATATCCGATAAACGTTGTCAATTTATTCACCTAGTCATTCAGAATAAAAAAGGTTATATACACTATAAGTTTCGTTTCGTTTCCTTATCAAAATAAACATATTATGTTATGAAAAGCTGAGATAAATGGTTCCCAATGGCGAAAGCAAAATTCGATTCACTGAATAGTATTAACTCGTTTTTCAGATGCAGAATATACTCACATTGTGTTCGTATAGTACAGCTGGGGAAACTACGTATATACAATTAGCAAGGGTAACTTAATCGCACAGTCCCTTACCATTCTGCTTTCTAAAATGTTTTTTGAATTTTAATAAAAAGAAGTAAGGATAAGGTAAATATGTCAAAATTACAGTTTTACTGTCAGAGAATAAACCTATAGTGTATCTGACATTTTTTTGTTCGGAATGAACGACCAAAGATATGGGTGAGGCTTGACTATCAATCAACGAGCTAGAATTTAGAAACAAAATACACCGGAACAAAATGATAATATCATCAGTTTTTTATTTAAAGGCGATCATTCGAATATACGAACAGGGAATACTCCAATTTAATCTGTCACTTGATCTGATGAACTTTCCCCGGATTTAGAATGGAATGTTGCCCAGGAAAGAAAGTGGAGGCTCGACCAATTAAGGACACTCTGGAGCCACTTTGCGACGCAATTAAATCACATTCGCACGGAACGCGTTCCCTTAGTAAAATTATACTAATCTAAAACCAATGGAGAAGTTTAATATACTCGTTTTTTTTTTAAATACGAGGGTGGCCTGAAAAATGTCCAGCCTCGATCATAAATGTCAATATTATAGACGAGATAGAGTTAGAATACAATCTGTCGAATAATATCATGTTCTATACAAAGATTACGACAGTTTAAGAGGGTTCTTCTTACATACTGTTTTTTCACAATATTTGTTTATATTTTTTTATTTGTTCGATTTTATAATTTTGTTTTTAGTTTTCACTTCTCGATTATGTAAATTCATAAAAGAATGTAATCTATGCGATGAAAAAAGATACTGTAAACATTTGAAACACAATGTACAAACAAGAACAAGTACTTTGTATTAACCCTCAGATACAAAATAAATTGTATTATGTATAAACCTACGTAACGCCATATAATTCTCATCGTTATTGAGTTTCATAGTCGATCAAATAAAAGAAAATTCTAGTTTTAACTATTGCCATTCAGATTAAATTAAATAGGTGGGTATTGTGTAAACCTAGAAAATAATCACTACCAAGATGAGATAACGATGCTAGAGCAATAATGGAAAAGCAAGCACATATAAAAAGTAAATTACAATTTTGTTCGAATTATTAGCCTTAAAATTGTTCAGACCATGCACGCAGTTCGTCTAATCTCTCGATCTGAATATTCGAAAAACAAACTAGTACGGACAAACAGGCCGAAAACGTCGGGCAAGGGTTCTGAAAAATAAGAAAATCTACATTTCGGCCTTTTGTCGGGCTCGTAATTCGCGGCGTACGATGCTGTTTCCCGAAACAATCGACGAAAAACCTGGTAAACCGGGATAATCTAGCCTTTCACCCTTTCAACGGCTACGTCCAGGTAGAAACCGGTGCGCTTTGTTCCCTTTGAACGGTGAAATGTAATACGCGACTTACCCTTTTCACTCTTTGTCCACTCACCATTTGACAAGCGCATGGCTGCAGACCATGAATCGGGCATCTTTGCTGATTTGCAGATTGAGGTGTCGGTTGCAAAGCAAAGGAGGACGATCCCATGGTAAGGCTGTTGCTCCTTTGATACTGGGTCTCGTAATAAGAAGGTGGCGGGCCTGTCTGAGTTTGATGGCTCGGGGGTGACGTCTGGTACATTTGATAGGAGTCCAGTTTCATCGTTTCTGCGAGGCTACCGGCTGTATACGCAATCGTTTAACAAAATGTATGTCAATTGGCATTGTAGTACTTAATAGTTTACTGTACAGGGTGTCCGAAAATTAATGTAAGAATTAGTGTAAGAAAATTGGAGGTAGCTGATTCTGAACCACAGTTTCCATTGCAAAAATGTCAGATGGTGCTTCGTTTTTGAATTATTAACGAAAAACCATCGACCAATCACAGCGCCCGACTAGCGCGCGCTCAGTCGCGAGAGCATAGGCTCGAGCCAGGATTGGCTGGCTACAGTGCGCTAATCGGGCGCTGTGATTGGTCGATGGTTTTGCGTTAATAATTCAAAAACGAAGCACCATCCGACATTTTTGCAAAGGAAACTGTGGTTCAAAATCATCTCAGCTACCCCCTGTTTCCGGTTCTTACAATAACTTTGGGACACCCTGTATATGTCTTATGTCATATTGTGTATCTTAATCTTTCAAAAAACGGAAAAAATGCGTCAAAGTATTATGGGAATAATCGGCGAACCTTGCTATGAAAAATAACGAATATGAAAACTTAGTGCGTACCTAATTGTTCTGGGCTGTATGGTGTGTATGTTGGTGTCCATTCCGGTTTTCCAGGAATCGCCGAGATTGGACTTAATCGGCCGCAGGATGAATCGTTACTCGAAGCTCGGGGGCTCGAATGAAAAATAAGTCAAATATAATTTAAATGTGCACGCGAAGTACTAACCGAATCTGGGCAAATATTATTTGAAATTCAAGAGAAAAAATGGTGTTTCGCGCGATCGAATCAATTTCTTACTTTTGTTGTATAAATGATATATAGAAAGAGTAATATTCGTTTATATAACACTTATTAATTCATATCAAAAATTTATATGTTAATTTAACTGCTTCAAATAAGATGGCAGTCAATCTTAAATCCTAGGCACGAAAAATATATCTGTCTCTTCCTTTTTAAAATTGATTTACTCATATGTAGAGATTTTGTTAAAGAATAACTCATTCCCTATATCTTAAGCACTCCATAATTATTTGAAAATGAGACGATTTGTTACTTTAATAATCACTTGAGTAATACTTTATGCGATCAATGCTCAAATTTGGTATAATTTGAGGCCCTGAATGTATTGTAGTATAGTATCTATTATGCTACAAATATTTTATATTAAGTTTAATGTTTCGAGTACCGAAGCACATAAAATTACATTAGAGTTTTCAAGGTGAAATTGCATTAACATAAAAAATGCCGCATTCAATTTGACACATGATATTGATACAAATCATGACAAAGCAAATGATATAAGCTCACCAATATGTATCGTCTTATCAGTTTGTGCAATTACGATGCAAATGTTGCAGTTTAGTCGAGTTAAACCGAATTAGTCGCTTGAAGTTGATTTCTTGACTACGACAAATGTCTAAAAAAACTTTCACATGACAGAAGACAGAAATCTATGTTTGTGGGATATCGCGAAATAAACAGAAAATAATGTATAATGATAGCGAAACGATTACTGTGAATATAACCTTTCATTATTAATAATCTTGAACGGCCAATTGATGTCGTCGAGACAACAGTAACACTTACTGTTTGAATTCCTTATGATAATCTATTCATTAAACTTATATTTATCTCGTAACAGTGAGATGTTTTACTTTCACTGTAAAAATCATAATAGATAAGACAAGTCTTGTACGATTCCTTGAACCGATACCCTCAAATCTTCCTAATTAGTAATGAACAGCACCGTGACACTCTGATGGTCTACGTTGTTCTAGGAAAATAGTATTACGATACATTCAGTCCTTGATGAATATATGAAACATAGTAAGAAGCGAAAATTTACGCGTTGAACTTGAAATGGAATACCGATGGATAATGATATTTCACTGTTCCAGGGTGACACGCATCTAGATACAGTGGGTGTAGAATGTATTCGTACACCGATTAATTTCCTAAAAAACTTTTGTGTGAAATTGTAGTTTCCTAACTTCTTTTTTTATAATCAATGATATTTTACATATTCTCGGAAGTCTCTAAGATAGATATAGTCCAAACAACATTTACTAGTTAATATAATTTGTGAAATGAACAAAAAAATGCGAAAATGGGGAAAAGTGTTGAAGCAAAAAGTATTTGTACGATTCTTATGACGAACCATTTACAGTAGAGTTTATAACATAAACACATTACTTTATTGCTTTGTACGACTTAGAAAACATCAAATTTCCAGTAAAGCACTTTTAAAAAGGCTCTAATAGAGGAATGGAAGAAAATCCCACATCGAATAACTAATAATGTAGTTAATTTAATGCTTAGAAAAGTTACAATAATTATAAAATTAAAAGGAAATCCCACGAAGGGAGTATTATATACTTATAAATTAATGTAAATTTCTCCTTTTTTTAAACAAGTTTTAAAAATTAAACAGTTGTGCGAATACTTATTGCTTCAATATTTCTATCGATTAATTATTTTTTTCTTGTTAATTTCGCAACTTACATAAATAGCTATGTCTTTTGTAATCTATCTATTCTAAAGATTTCCGATTGTTTATAAAAAATAAGTTAATAAATTACAATTTTACACAGTTTTTTTGGAAATTGATCGGTGTACGAATACTTTCTACACCCGCTGTAATTACTTTTTATCATTATCGGTGAGATATTTAATAAATTATTATTAAAATATGTTCTCCGACACTGTTAGAAATGGAATATATGCAAGATAATCAAATTTACTAAAAATATCATAATTCTACACCCACTATAGATATGTAGAAAAATCGAAATAATATTTTGCAAATAATAAACAAAGCATAACATATATCAATTGATTGTGTTGAATATAATTACGTTAATTTTTTTTAACTAAATCAAATGAAACGAATGATTGAACTGCAGGAGAAATACCGAAATAATTCTCGCATCATTATTTGAAAACTGTTTTTCTTTGAGGTGACATTGGAAATAACTGGAATGTAAGTACAAACACGAACGCAATAGTAAATCGTTATTTAATCGTAAATGCAATGGATATGTAGGAAGTATAAAAACAATTCGAGAAAATAACGTGTGAATCAAAGAATCAATTATTTTCTATAAGTAATTGTAATAAAAAAATAATTTTAATCGAATATTATAAAAATTCTAAACCTAACTGCAATGATTAATTAAGAAGTTAATGATTGTACATAATGTTGATTAATTTGAACGTTTAATAAAATTAATTGTTGATCGTTAATTTGGTGATTTCTAATCGAAATTCGATTCGTATTAATAATTAAATTGTGAATCGGTTATTTAAAAGTGCATATTCCTACAAATTCCACGATTTAGTCTTCAATTACTCACTGTACTCATTACAGCTTTTAAACGATTAACTATACGGTAAGTGTAAACTGTCATTACAACGCCGAATCATCGGCTTAATTAAATTCTATCAAACACTGTCTACCATAAAGCATCTGATGAATTCTAATGGTACGTGCAATATTTATTAAATAAGTTGATATATGATTGCTGCCTACGCATAAAAATAATTGAAACACAAACAAACGAGCACGACATTATGTCAGATCATCCCTATGAAACATATCTGCCATGGATTTCTAGCGTCAACATTGTTTGTATCAAGTTCATGTGTCAGCTTGTGTGTGGCAAAGATAACGTTACACTGAAACAAATTGTACCAATTAATGATAAACAACAAGATGCGTCATAGCAAGCAAAATAGAATTTAACCCTTGAAAACCTTGTGACGGGTTCGGTTAAATTGTCAACCTCTTGGCTAGGAATAACGTCTGCAATGGCAATCAGCATATTCAGTCGCGTTTTTTTCTTTAAAAATAAAAAAAAATTAAGATTTTAAAAAAGTAGATAATAATTTTGCAACGACGTCTGATAGCAAACGCTAGAATGAGAATATTAAACATTCATATTTTATATTAACTGAGATTTTCGAGTGTAAACCGTATCTTTTGGATAAAATATACCATCATTTTGTCAACACTACAGCTAGCTTCTTCAGGAGTCGAATGTCACTCTGATATTGACATGCGTCTTGTAATGAAAATCCTTTCAAGCAAGCAATGCTCTAATACTATTCTTATTCACGTAGGTGCAATAATTTCTGCATTGTTTATGTAAGTATGTAATAGGTAGGGACTTCGTCATAGATGACCGCATTTAACTGGGCGTAGGGTAGAGATCGATTTATAATGTAAATGTTAATGACGAAATCGGTTGTGTGATGAATGATCTATAATTCATTTCTCCGTGAATTATATTCGTTTTTTAACCGACTTCGAAAAGGAGGAAGTTACTCAATTCGACATGTATATTTTTTTTCCATTATCATGAAATTTCCCAGATGATAAAGTGATTCTTTTTTATAAAGATCAATATATTATACCTGATCAGTAGCCTTAAAGTTTATCTTATAATTTACAATTCGTATTTAACATTTTTAATCTACAGCTAGGTATATCGTATCGCTAACTCTTTTTTTAGATCTATTGGTAACCAATATCTTTGTATTGTATTACATTATTTTCACGTATATTCAATCATTTGGTCAGCGTACGCCGATAAAGTAGCAAAGTAACGCTTTTCATCCGACTTGAATTACAAATGTTTAGATTTCAAATTGAAAACGTATTTTTATCAAAATAAAACATAGCCTATAGCACTCAGGGATAGTGTAGCTTTCTATTACCGGCTAAATTTTTGAAATCGATTCAGTAGTTCTGGAGATTACCCCCTACATACAAACAAACAAACTTTACTTTTTTATAATATCAGTATAGATATAGATAGAGACATAAGAAATAATTTAAATGCGTTTCTATTTTGAATGCGTTTCTCCCAGTTTGTTTATTTCTCAGCTAAAAATCAAACCAACTTCTATTAGAGACTAGTGATCCGTGATTGGTAGTCATTGAAAGTGACATAAACACTGGTACCTTAAAAGGATACACACTACACCATGCATACCAATATCAGTGTGTCGTTTTATCTCTGAAGAAGTAATCTGGAATGTTGGCGAAACTATGGAATATCTTATCAAAAGGACTTACACCTGGTATCCTCGGTTGGTATCAACCACGAAGAACCGGGTCGTAAAAGCCTCAAATGTCTTATTAGAGATCCAGCTCGATCAACAAGCAGCACGTCAAAGCGGAGACATACCGAAAGTCCGGGGAAAGTTGGAATCCACTTCCGGGTTGGAGAGGGCTGTCCGGGAAAAGATCCAGTCCCTCGCTGACGCTGTTACTTGGACTGGGTATTGCGTCATTTTGCAGCCCACCGTCTCTTATCGCTTCGAGCTTCTTTCGCACGCGGCCGCGTCGTTTGTCCGATTTACTGGGCTCCATGGTCATTGCCCTGTGAAATGGACAATGAGATACAGAATTGGTCGCAGCTTGCACCGCGACAACAACACACTGTCTCTCGATTAGCTGCTCACGATCGGTTACCCGGAGAGAGTAGCGACTTTTTGTTTCCAGAAATAGAATATCTTTATTTCAACTAGGGATTACTAATCGCAGGCATGTCGTGCAACCATGCTTAGATGGATTCGTTACCATGATAAACGACGCCACGCCGCACAGTGGTAAAAGCGGCCAATCTAGGTGGACATTCGGTAAAAATTTCATGTCGACTGACGAAAGAATGGACTTAGCACTGTCATTAAGGATGCTTGACAAGATAAACACTGAATTGAGGATTAAATTTTGTCGACTGACAATTGATCAAACATACCACTGTTTATAGCAATTTTTTTTTTTTTTTTTACGTGGAGGAAATCTGATATCAGATTTAAGTAATATTGAAAATTCAAATACCTGGTTCTAAATAATTGGAAATAGGAGTTTTACAAATTAGATCTGAATGATGTTCGACTTCGTCTGCGACTCGACTGAGAGCAAATGTTAATTTTTAATTGTTATAATTGCGCGACAAGTGGCTGAAATTTAACAAGTGAACAAAGCGACTGTCTTTTGTTTCGGGGAATATTATACTGTTTCAGGTATAAAAGATTTTTAGACAAACCCATATTTTAGAATACTGATTAATGACCAGTATCTAAATTTAATTTCTTCACAGTGGACCGGCCCTATTAAGAGAGGTGATTGTATAAGCACTATGGGTCAGGATGGGTGTAATTCGTTTTTATGCGTACTCTGTAGATGTTACACTTCAAAGCTATGTCACCCGCAGGGTGATGCAAGTTGATGCGAAAAAGTTACAGCATTTCAAAAGTTAAGTTTCTTGAAAATTTAGATTTTAAGTTGTCTTATCTCTACCAAAATATTTCAGACCTCTGAAAATCTGTTAACTGGTATATATTACGTTGTACTTACCTTTGATAATTATATGGAGATGAAAAAAAAAAATCAAACAGACTTAGAGTGCTGGCACTAAATGTGATCTGAACGAGGTAATTACCTGATGGTTGTAAACAGTGGTATGTTTGATCAAGTGTCAGTTGATAAAATTTAATCCTCAATGCAGTTTTTATCTTGTCAAATATCGTTAACGACAGTGCTAAGGCCGTTCCTCGATCAGTTGATATGAAATTTATACCGAATGTCCACGTAAATAGGCCGTTTTTACCACTGTGCGCCGGTCACCAATGAGTGACGATATACAGAGTGAGGCATTTAAAACAGGCCACCTGAATAATTCGTTTACTTTTAATGATAGGAAAAAAAGTGTCAAGCAAGAGTTGTTTGATTTTAAGGGGCACGTAATGTGGTGCCAATAACTTTTTTATCGGTGGATGCGTAGAGAAGATATGAAGGTGGACTCTGGTTTTTTTTTAAATAGAATGATATAATTCCTTATACACATTCTGATAGGACATTTCAAGACGAATATAATGACGTATAGTTGAAGGTCGTTCAAGGTTACACAGGCTAACTGTAATGGAAAATAAATGGTCCTCATTTTATTGATGGAGCGTTAAATAGTTGCAAGTATGCACAGATTTTAACAGAAAGATCATTCATTGAACGTAGGGCAATTAATATGATACCAGCAAGATGGATGCCCTGCTCAATCTGCTCGAAATATTAAATGGTCAGTACGTTCTCCTGATTTAACAACCATGGATTTTTATTTATAGGAAAAATTAAAATAGCAACTATACAGCGAAATACCAACAACCAGAGAAGATAAGAACGAGAGAATAAGAAGAGCTTGAATTGCAATTGATTCAAATGAAGTTTATCGTGCAGTGTTTTCTACATTAAGACGTTTTAGAAAAATGCATTCAAGTTCAAAGTCATCATTTTGAACATTTGCTGTAGCAGTAAGTACGAAAATAAGAACGTTAATGAAATACTTTGAAGAGTGCCTTGAAACAATTTTTTTTCTATTATAGTCAGCCTGTGTAACCTTGAATGACCTTCAACTATACGTCATTATATTCGTCTTGAAATGTTCTATCAGAATGTGTATAAGAAATTATATCATTCTATTTAAAAAAAAGACCAGAGTCGATCTTCATATCTTGCCATCGCTTCCACCAATAAAAAAGTTATTGGCACCACGTCACGTGCCCTTCGAAATCAAACAACTCTTGTTCGATACTTTTTTTTCTATCACTAAAAATAAGCGAATCGTTCAGGTGGCCTATTTTAAATGCCTCACTCTGTATATTTCAGATCGCCTCATTCACCGTTATATAATTTTAAAGATTATAAACTCATTTAAGGCTAAATAGATTTCGTTTTAACACGTTGACGTTTTTCGTTGACGTTTTCAGTGTCTGCGCCGTGAGACGGCGCTCGATTTCACAATTCGTTTGATGGGGCGGCGCGCGGCGCGGCATCAAACTGCAAGGTTCAGTACGATGTATGACCCACCGGTGATGCACGCCGCTCTGCGGAACAGACAAGCATGACCCACCGGTGATGCAAGCCGGCGTCAACGTGTTAAATTCGTCTACATATTTGGAATAATTGCTGATATATAGGTAGAGACTGCAGAGTCTTCGAATCAAAGATGAGAACGAGTATGACTATATCAAATTCAGCGAGAAGAGAAATTAATGAGGTCAGTTATTCGGGAGACAGTGTACGCTGTAGGCCAACTTACCTTCGTCGTGACGATTTACCAGGCTTGGCGTCGTTATTTATCATCCACCAGGAGCTCTTTCCGGTACCTTCATTCTGGACCCTCATGAATCGACTGTGCAACGATAAGTTGTGTCTTATGGAGTTCTGTGAACAGAAAGAATGCGTTCTTAATTCTTTGAGACACACGATTCAAAAGAAAAATAACACTTAAGCTGTACCGAACTGAAATTCCATTACACATTCGGCTTCGAATAACATTTTTTTAATTATAATTTTTTTAATTTGCTAATAACATATGAGTAAAAAATATTCCACCATGCAGAAAAAGCTAAGCACTTAACTCCGAAGAGTCATCCTGAATTTTAAAAGCCTTCTGCTAACTTTGTTTAATTTTATTAATTTTATTATTGATCCTTTTCAGTATATCTAAATATATTTAAATATAGGCGTGCTTACAGTTAAGGATATATTATTAAAAGTACTTAGCAACTCTTTCTTAAAAAAGAATTGTATTCGTGTACTGGATACGCTTACTTAAATTGAATACATACATATGTACGTTTTAATTTAAATTTTTCACAGGTATCGTTGCTTATTAAAAAAGAATAATAAACGCGACAAAGATCAGGGGCTTACATGCAGTTTATTTAATACTATGTTGTGACAAACTGATTCTATTTATTGATTGTTTAAAAAACATTGTTGCTAAGAATATTTACGGCATACCATTTTTATTTTATATAATATCTAAGTAAGTTAGGTCTGCGTTGGGTTATACAGGGTGTCCTAAAAATGTTGGAAGACTTTGAAAAGGGTGGTTCACATTTTCGCTAAGGACAAAGTTGTTTCAAATCTCTCCCTGAACTATCTCTTTCAAGGACTTCCAACATTTTTGGGACACCCTGTCTATAGTATAAGGTCAAAATTATATATCGATAATATTTCCATAAAACACCGTCATTTTTCTTATACACCATCTGTTTTTAAATTGAACAGATTTAATATAAATTGTGGAAATTCAGAGGTAATGATTTCCCCCACCCTTTATATTTCTAACCAACCACAACAATCTGCAAATCGAAACAAACGTTCTCGAAAATCTTTATTCCGTTCTCCTTTGTTGTCATTACACAATTTGTTTATAGCTACTGTAACTATTTCTGCTCTTGCTGATGGTCCAGATGGCGAAGAATTAGTGGTTACGATACCATTTTCACAAATATAAAATGAGTAATGCAACAAAAATACCGACAATGTCGCTAAGCATACGAATGGTAAGCATACGAATGGCAAACTGCGATTTAGAGTTTGCTGAAACGTTCGCAAATAGCGTTCCAAATTTGCTTGGAGTACTCGCAATTTCGCTAACGAATCGCGAACGTCGACATGGTTCGTCGAATAAAAGGTACACTTTGCTTACAGTCCTTACAGAACGATAGTAGTGGAAGCAGATTCTTGTAATTTTGAAAAGTTCCCGAAAATGGTCGTCATATCGCGTCGCGAGGAACGGTACAAAGCATCAATTTTGAAAAAGTAATTTTTATTTGCCGCTGTATCGTGCGCTCTTTACGTAAAAGCCCTCCTTCCTCTGCATAGGGGAAACTAGTGCTCCGGGACGAAGACGAAAGGAAATTGTTATCGCTTCTCGACGATACTTTCATATTAGGGTAGAAGCTTTCCGAAATTTTTGGGAGGAAGGACCAGCACCGTAGTCGATTCAATTTGCCTAATGAACAAGCCCCGGAGAAACGTCTCTGTCTACGAAGCACAATAAAACGTAGCCCTCATGACTCACTCTTCGAATCGATTTTGTACATGGTATAAAACGACTCTGACAATGCAATCGCCCGTGTAGATTTCAGCCGCTCGTGTTACGCGCAAACGTAAGATAGTAAAAGAAACTGGAATCGAAATATCGATAGGGGCGAGATGCCCGCGCCGAGGGATGTATGTAGTTGCGTTCGGTCCTCGTAAATTTAAACGGAATTGAAATTATACAGTTGCAGTAAAAGCGTCGCGGACAGATTTCCCTGAAATATACACTGCCGTTTAAAAGTGTTCCAGCACCCTTCGATCTTTATCAAGGGTTTTCCGAAAGGTGCGTTAATAAGTTCATATTTTCGTAGATATTAGTTGTTGCCATCGCTGCGTACATTTAGTAAATGCACACTCATCAACTTAGCTTTATTATAAAAGTAGCTGCGCCTCGCAGTTTCACTGCCACAGAATATTATTCTTATTCACGTAAGTGCAATAATTACTTCGTAACAGATGAACGCATTTAACTGAGTGTAATGTAGAGATAGATTTTTAAACGTAAATGTTAATGACGAACTTGGTCGTGTGATGAATCCCCTATAAGTAAATTTAAATAAACCCTGAAATATACAAAAGGTATAAAATTTAATCCATATTTTTTATTATTTAAATATTTTTTTACAATACAATAATCACTATATATAATTAAATTTACTTTTATTCATACTGAAACAAAAAAATTACATAAATATTTTGATTACAATAAATTATTAACATTCACATAAATATAAATTCAAATATAAAATTGTAAATAATTTTATTTAATTTAATAAATATGTATTTTCCAAACTTCAACAAATTCATTTCTCTGTGAATTATTTTGATGTTTCATTATCTCCTAAACTATGCGACCAAATAACATGCTTGTATTTTATTAAAGAAAAAAATTGTAAAGTCCCTTTTGAGAAACCTTTTACAATTAATGGGGAGGAGAGGCTATTTAAAGCCAACTCTAGTCTTCAACAGCGTTAAGGTCGTTTTCTCTTGTGTTATTTCTTACTGTTAGGATGCAATAGCGCGGATAATTTAAGCTAGTTAATTTCAGAACAGACAATATCCTTAAAATATCATTATTTGTTATCATGCAATAAATAACGCAACGGACGACACACGTGATAATCTGATAGCTCTAAGTCAGGAGATCATAGCTAATCGTTAATTACTACCCAACCCAAATGTTGTCACGGTGTACAGCAATCTCTCTTCTGTTAACGAGCGCAGGCCTTTTATCTTTAAGCGTGGTGCTTAATTTGACCAATTGCTGACAATACCGTTTGGGATTAATGGTTTCTTTTTTTTTTTTCAATTCTGTACTAAATCGAATCTCTTTTATCCTACAACACATAAAATCTGTGAATAACAAGATCTTTAATCTATTTTTTAAAATCCATATATAATAGACATTGAAAGTTAATCCTACTGGTGTTGATAAGTGTCAATTAATATAATATGCAATAGATGAATGTATACATATATAATGGATGAATTTTCATACAATACTCGTGAACAATTATTAATTTTAATTGCAACTAACATATCTTTTTTTTTAATGTTTTCATTCATCTTCATAACCAATTACCTCTCTCAAACATCTTTAGGATTGTATAAATTCTAAATTTACGATTGTATAATTCTTTGCTTACTTGGAATTTTATAAATATGTATATCATAGAAGAAATCCTATCAATTGGAGTAATATTGTAACAAGAAACACTTCGGTCTGTACGCAAGATTATCTTGTCAGATCCTGGTAGCTAACGTGTTAAACATAGGCAAATATATAAATGTGTTTTTAAGGCGTACAACTCATTATTTTGATTATACCAGAACAGTTGAAGCGTTCACAGCACATACAGGTATATTGTCCGCAAAACTTGACCGACTCCTCCACCGATGTACATCCAACTGACAGCCGTCATCAGATAACTAAAGTATTTATCGGTAAGGCGCTGTCGCGAGTACCGATGAGGAAGCTTTTACGATCGATTCGCATCGCCGATTCTTTTTACCTTTTACTTCGTGACAGACTCATAGGGTTCACGATGGCGATCCAGCTATTCCAGCCATTCAGTCGTGAGCTATACAGAAGGACTTTACAGCCCTATCATTTCCCCGCGTTTATCGATGGTGCACTTCGAAGGTGAAGACATTTTTGGCGCCGCTATTCTGATTTTTAAATGGACCCTTGTCGTTCGTGTTTCGATACCGCGCGACGAGAAGAGTATCAGCAAACATTTAAACGAACGTTCTTATGATTACTGAGAAACAATTTATCGATACACGTTCTCAAGATCATTTTATTAATTGTATGTATGTTCTTCATATGACACAATTGTATATTAAGAAAAGGTTTTTCACAAGGGTGTTTAAGATATTGTTTTTTTGTAAGAAAATAAGGATAGCAGCTTAGGTATAATTAACATGGCGATCCAACAGGTTTTACTACAAACGTTTGCATTGTATATATCGACTAAATGTTTGAAAAAATACAGCGAACTAAACATGTATTTTTAAGTAACATTAAAAAATCTGTTGTAAATCGAGATTTTAACGGTTGTCAAAGTAAAACAAAAATGCCTGAAGTTCCATTTTGAATAATTAAATCTTCTTAAAATTGTACGTATCAATTGTTTATTTGCAGTATTCGTTTTTAATACTCGCTTTTTCCATAGAATAATATTTAACAATACTGAACGTAAAACGATTTCGAGGAAAAAGGATGAAAATGGAGAATTGGATAAACGCACACAGCAACGAACGAAAGATATACAAGGATACGTGTTATCGAAGCAAACTTTTACTTTGATCAGTGCAGTGAACGAGAAGCGAAACAATTAAAATCGCTCTGGACACGATGGTCGATAGATGTTATTTCGTTTACTGAAATGGAGAAACATTAACACACTGAGATTTAATTAAATTTCATTAGTTGGTTCGATGCCAAGCTTTTAACATTGACGGTATCTGTTGTATCGAAGATATTTCAAGAAAAACTGGGGACTTTGAAAATGTAAAAGTTTGCATACATTCAAAAGTTGGTTTTTGTTTAAGAAATCACAGACAACACTAGCAAGATGATAAGCAGCTGCTTAATATAATAATAATAAAATTGATAAAATGGATTTGTAATCAACGATTACAAACACGTGCGAATACGATTAAATATTGAATTTAATAATACTAGCTTCAAGAATAACTACTTCGACTTTTCTAAGAATTGCAAATTCAGAACTTTAGTAGTTAATTATTCAAAGGATAACGAGTTTCCAGCATTCTCGTTATATAATTACCGACTGCATCCGAACTATTCACACAAAGTGCGAGTA